AAGTGGTAGAGCGCTAGCCTTGAGCTGAAGAGCTGAGGGACAGCGCCCAGGCCCAGAGTTCAGGCCCCATGACCAGACCAAAAAAAAAAATTTTTTTTTTCATGGAATTTTGTGCCTAGGCTGGTTTTGAACTGTGATTCTCAGATCTAAGCCTTCTGAGTAGCTAGGATTACAGATGTGATCTCCCAGGACCTGGCTTAATCATCCCCCCTTTTTTTTTTTTTTTGTCTGCCGTAGGGCTTGAACTCTGGGCTTAGGGCACTGTCCCTGCGCTCTTCAGCTCAAGGCCAGCGCTCCACCACTTGAGCCACAGCACCACTTCCTAGTGGTTTATTGGAGATAAGAGGCTCTCCGACATTCCTGCCCAGGCTGGCTTTGAACTGCGATCCTCAGATCTCAGCCTCCTGAGTAGCTAGGATTATAGGCGTGAGCTGCTGGCACCCGGCTTAATCATCCCTTTTTATATTCCCCTTATTTAAATTTCTTAAATATATTTGTACAATATAATTTTGCCTCTTTAGTGTTTTAGAAATAGAATACTTCAGCCTGGCACTGGTGGTTCATGCCTGTAATCCTAGCTCAGGAGGCTGAGATTTGAATATTATGGTTCAAAACCAGGCTGGGCAGGAAAGTCCGTGAGACTCTTATCTCCAGTTAAGCAACAGAAAACTGGAAGTGGCACTGTGGCTCAAGTGGTAGAACACTAACCTTGAGCTGAAGAGCGTAGGGACAGTGCCCTAAGCTCAGAGTTCAAGCCCCATGAATGACAAAAATAAATAAATAAATAATGGAATACTTCAACTGTAAGTGTGGCTCAAGTTGGTAGATAATGATTTTTAAGATAGTGGCAAAAAAAAATAGGCTGAACAAATGGATAATCAGCCCGGCATCAGTGGCTCAGGCCTGTAATCCTAGCTATTTAGGAGGCTGAGATTGGAGGACTGCAGTTCAAAGACAGCCCAGGCAGGAGAGTTGGTGAGACTCTTTTTTTTTGGTCAGTCCTGGGTCTTGAACTCTGCAGGAAACTATATGAGACTTATCTCCAGTTAACCACCAAAAAAGCTGGAAGTTGCTGGACACTGGAAACTCAGGCCTATAATCCTAGTTACTCAGAAAGGCTAAGATCTGAGGATTGCGATTCAAAGTCAGCTGAGGCTGGAAAGTCCATGAGACTCTAATTAACCACCAGAAAATGGGAAGTGGCTTTGTACTCAAGTGGTAAAGTGCTTGCCTTGAGCTAAAGAACTCAGGGACAGAGCCCAGGCCCAAAGTTCAAGCTCTACGACTGGGAAGAAGGAAAAAAAAGCTGGAAGTGTGGAAGTGGAGCTGTGGCTCAAGTTAGGATGCTAGTCTTTTGTAATAAAGTTGAGAGATAGCTCCTGGCCCTGAGTTCAAGCCCCAGAACCAGCATAAAAAAAAAAATCTGAGCCGGGCGCTGGTGGCTCACGCCTGTAATCCTAGCTACTCAGGAGGCTGAGATCTGAGGATCGCGGTTCAAAGCCAGCCCAGGCAGGAAAGTCTGTGAGACTTTTTTTTTTTCCAAGTTGAATGCTTTGGAATTTATTTTAGTATAAGAAGGAGAGAAACATTTCCTGCTTTCCACAAGGGAAATGTGAATTAATGACTCAAAATCTGATTTCAAAGATCTCACTTGTATCCTTTATATTTTCTGACCTGGGAGAAGGCATGTTATCATGCCATTTAACAACTCCTAGCCCTTAGATAATGGCTCTGGATGAGTAAGATGGAAATTTTTTTTTATTATTGTGAAAATACTGTACAGAGGGGTCACAATTACATCGGCAAGATAATGAGTACATTTCTTATCAAGCATTGTAGCCTCCTCCTTTGTTTTCTCTTCCCATCCCTTCCCATCCTCCCCCTGCCCCCCCACCCAATCCTCTTCCCCCCCATCCTCCTCCCCCCCCACCAAAGTTATAAAGTTCATTTTCAACATAACAACTTGTACATCTCATTGTTGCAATAGGTACCCCTGTATCCCTATTTAAATGATTCTGTGAGACTTATCTCCAATAAGTCACTAGAAAATGAAGTGGTGCTGTGGCTCAAGCAGTAGAGCACTCGCCTTGAGCTGAAGAGCACAGGGATAGCGCCCAAGCCCAGAGTTCAAGCCCCATGACCGAAAAAAAAAAGAATCTCATGGACTTTCCTGCCCAGACTGGCTTTGAACCATGATCCTCACATCTCAGCCTCCTGAGTAGCTAGGATTACAGGTGTGAGCCACCGGCACATTTTCTTAAGTAGGTTAACTAATTCCTATTATTATTTCAACATATCTTCATAATGAAAAGATAACCGAATTTGTTATCAGGCTGGTGGTAATTCAAGTTATTAATGATTTCATGGGTTGGGTGCTGTAATACTAGTTATTTAGGAAGCTGAGATCTGAGTCAGATCATGGTTCAAAGCCAGCCAGGCAGAAAAGTCACTGAAACTCTTATTAAGCAGCAAAAACAAAGGTATAGACCCCAGGTCCTGAGTTAAGGCTCCAGTACTGGCACTAAAAAAAATAATAAATTAATAATTTCATGGTGGTTTATTGAACTGTCACTTTAAGTGCTTTTGTTGACTTTGTTTTTTGTTTTTGTTTTTAATAGAGAAGAAAACTACATCTCAGCCCTGAACACTGTAGTAACTTTTATGTGGAACAGTATGGGAAAATGTTTTTCCCAAATTTAACAGCTTACATGAGTTCTGGACCACTTGTTGCTATGATACTAGCAAGATATAATGCCATTTCTTACTGGAAAGAACTTTTGGGACCAGCTAATAGTTTGATAGCTAAAGAGTTACACCCAGACAGGTAATTTTCTTGGGGTGGAGAGATGGAAACTATGTGTGAAAATGGAAAACAAAACAACTCTGAAAATTTTTTTATTTTTAATTTTTTAAATTTTTTTGGTCAGTGGTGGGGCCTGAACTCTGGGCCTGGGCGCTGTCCCTCAGCTCAAGGCTAGCACTCCACCACTTGAACCACAGCGCCACTTCTGGCTTTTTCTGCTTATTTGGTGCTGAGGAATCCAAGCCAGGGCTGGCTCAAGTGGTAGAGCGCTTGTCTTTTTTTTTGGGGGGGGGGTCCAGTCGTGGGCTGAACTCTGGGCCTGGGCGCTGTCCCTCAGCTCTTCCGCTCAAGGCTAGTGCTCTACCACTTGAGCCACAGCGCACTTCTGGCTTTTTTCTTTTTGCTTATGTGGTGCTGAGGAATTGAACCCAGGGCCTCAAGCATGCAAGGCAAGCGCTCTATCACTGAGCCACCTTCCCAGCCCCTAGCGCTTGTCTTGAGCTGAGGAGCTGAGGGACAGTGCCCAGGCCCAGAGTTCAAGCCCCACAACTGACAGAAAATAAAAACAAACAAAAAACAATAAACCTATTGAAATTGAAGGAGAGATTGGGTGATGATGGGGGGGGGGCGGGAGAGATTGATTGAAATACACACTGTATACATGTGGAAATGTCACAGTCAAATACAGTAATATTTTTATAAAATTTCTAAATGGAATACTTTCATATGAAATAAGGGAAGGATATTAGAGTAAATAATCATCTCTAATTTACTTTTAGTTTAAGGGCAATTTATGGCACAGATGACTTAAGGAATGCACTTCATGGGAGTAATGACTTTGCTGCTGCAGAAAGGGAAATTCGTTTTATGTTTCCTGAAGGTGAGTTATAGACAACTAATTTCTCAACTTTATCTCTTAATTGTTTACTTTTTTGGTGCCAGTCCTGGCTTTGAACTCAAGACCCTGAGTGGTCTACCACTTGAGCTATAGCTTCACTTCCAGATTTTTTGATGATTAATTGGAGATAAGAGTCTCTCTCACAGACATTCCTGTCCCTGTTGGCTTTGAACTGAGGTTCTCAGATCTCAGTCTCCTGAGTAGCTAGGATTAGAAGTGTGATCTACCTGGGCCCAACTTGTTTACTTTTCTTTTTTTGGAAGATGTGGGCTGAGAAGCAAGATAAGAATTTTTCTTCAATGTATTTTATCATATTTTCATGTGGTATTTATGCAGAAACTTGAAGTCATGGGTGAAAATTTCCAAGTTTCCCTTATAAATATATTCGCCAATGGCTCACATCTGTAATCCTAGCTCATGAGAATCTCATTTTGAAAACAGCCTGTGAGACTCTGATCTCCAATTAGCACCAAAATGCCAGAACTGGAGCTGTGACTGAAATATAGAGTGCCAGCACAAAAGGGACATCTGTGTTTAAGCCCCATGACCAGCATAAAATAAGAAATATATGTGTCCCATAGGAAAATTTTGGAGAATTTATCTTCTTTCTTTCTTTGTTTTTTGTCAGCTGTGGGGTTTGAACTCAGGTTCTGGGCACTGTCTCTGAGCTCTTTTGCTCAAGGCTAGCACTCTACCCACTTTGAGCCACAGTGTCACTTCCAGATTTTGAGTAGTTAATGGAGATAAGAGACTTTTCTGCCCAGGCTGGCTTCGAACCATGATTCTTGAATCTCAGCCTTCTGAGTAACTAGGATTACAAGCATGAGCTACAGGTGCCTGGCTCTTCTTTTTTTGTTGTTGTTAGGTATATGTAAAATTGTTCTTCTATATTGTAATTGTGTGTGTGTGTGTGTGGTATTAGGGTTTGAACCCAGGGCTTTGTGCTTATTCAGCTGGCCGCAACTCCAGCCTGGCTTTTTGCTGGGTATTTTGGAGACACAGACTCTTGTGTCCCAGCTAGCTTCTGAGGCCCTCCAGGACTCTGCTTCTGTGAGAGCCACTGGTGCCTGACTAAAATGTATTTTATTATGTGTAATAAAATGAATTTTATTATGTGTAACTAATACCTCCATAAGAGGGTTTGTGTGTGTGTGTGTGTGTGTGTGTGAGAGAGAGAGTACGCACGCCAGTTCTGGGGCTTGAACTCAGGGCCTAGGTGCTGTTCCTGAACTTTTGTGCTCAAGGCTAGCACTCTTACCACTTGAGCTATATAGCTCCATTTCCAGCTTTTTAGTGATAATTAACATCTTGCTGACTTTCCTGCCAGGCCTGGCTTTGAACCATAATCTGCAGATCTCAGCCTCTTTAGTTGCTAGGATTATAGGTATGTGCCACCAGTGCCTAGCCTTAATGAATTTTTTTTTTTTTGTCAGTCATGGGGCTTGAACTCTGGGCCTGGACGCTGTCCCTCACGGTCTTTCCTGCCCGGGCTGGCTTTGAACCGCGATTCTCAGATCTCAGCCTCCTGAGTAGCTAGGATTACAGGCATGAGCCACCGGCGCCCGGCCCTTAATGAATTTTTAAAAAATATATAAAACATATATGTTTATATGTATATATTTATGCTTAAATATAAAACATATATATAAATATATAAAAATGAGTGCTTCTCGGGCTGGGAAGGTGGCTCAGTGGTAGAGCGCTTGCCTTGCATGCTCAAGACCCTGGGTTCGATTCCTCAGCACCACATAAGCAAGCAGAAAAAAGCCGGAAGTGGCGCTGTGGCTCAAGTGGTAGAGCGTTAGCCTTGAGCTGAAGAGCTGAGGGACAGCGCCCAGGCCCAGAGTTCAGGCCCCACGACCGGACCCAAAAAAAAAAAAAAAAAATGAGTGCTTCTCATGGTATTAGAAATTCTTTTTAGCTAGGTATCTAGTTATTCAGGAAGTAGAGATCTGAGGATCACAGTTTGAAGCCAGCACTAGCATAGAAACTTGAGATACTCTTTATCTCCAATTAACCACCAAAAAACACAGAAATGGAGCTGTGGGTCAAATGGTAGAGTATTCAGCTTGAACAGAAAAGCCCAGGACAAGACAGCACCAGGCACTGAGTTGAATCCCCAGGACTAGCACCAATAAAACAGAAAGAGAGAGTGGGGGAGGAGAGATTCTTTAATATTTGTATAATGTTTTAACATTTTTTAGTGTCAGTTTAATCACTTTTTTAAAGAGAATATGTTTATAATTTCAGTGATTATTGAGCCCATTCCAGTTGGACAAGTTGCTAAGGACTATTTAAATTTATATGTAACACCAACTCTGCTTGAAGGACTCACAGAACTTTGCAAGCAAAAACCAGAGGATCCTTTTGTAAGTATTCTTTTTATTGACATTAAAGAATATTGCTTT